GGAGAGTGCGAAGGCGAGTGCCCCTAGCACTCCTCAACTTGCAAATGCAAGTTAAAATTTATTAAACAACTTGGCACAGTGGATTGGGACAAGTGGCTAGAAATTCCATGAATGTCGAAATTCTTTAATGTCCAAGAAAAAGTGGAGGAGAAAACAAAATGCTTACAACATCTATATGTGCTGCAGTCCTCTTGTTTTTTTCTTTCACGAGTTTCTGGTCCAGCTAGACCAAACATGCTGCTCCTCTTCTTCCTCGTAGCCCTCCCCCTCTTCACCTTCTTTCTCCTCCACAAACAGAGAGTCAATGGCGGCAATACCAATCTCCTTCCACCAGGTCCGCAGGGTCTTCCCTTCATCGGTAACTTGCACCAGCTCGATAATTCATCACTTCACGTTTACCTCTATCAACTTTCCCAAAAATACGGTCCCCTCATGTCTCTTAAACTTGGGTTCCGCCAAACTCTCGTAGTCTCTTCCGCAAAAATGGCTAAAGAAGTCCTGAAAACCCATGACATCGATTTCTGTAGCAGGCCTGCTCTGCTTGGCCTTCAAAAGCTATCCTACAATGGCTTAGATGTGGGTTTCACCCCTTACAGTTCTTACTGGAAGGAAATCCGAAGAGTCTGTGTAACCCATCTCTTTAGCCCCACAAGATCTCAACTCTACCGTCCGATTCGAGAAGACGAAGTTTCTAGAATGATGAAGAGGATATCAAAATCATCATCCACTTCAAAATCCATCAATCTGACCCGAGAGATGATGTGTTTTACAAACGCAGTCATCTGTCGAGTTGCCTTCGGGAGAAGGTATGAGGATGAAGGAGCTGAAATGTATAAATTTCAGGAAATTTGCAACGGAACTCAATCGATGGTTGGGGGTTTTTTTGTGTCTGACTATTTTCCCTTAATGAGATGGGTTGATAGACTGACCGGAATGCTCTCTCGCCTTGAAAAAGTTTACAGAGAAGCAGATGGTTTCTATCAACAGCTCATCGATGATCATCTTGATCCAAAGCGGCAGAAGCCAGAACCGGAGGATATCATTGATATCTTCTTGAAAATCATGAAGAACCCTGAGCCTACGTTAAATCTCTCTTTTGATCACATCAAAGCGGTTCTCATGGTAGTATTACAAGAAACCTCCACGTTTCAGGGGCTGAGTTACACAACCAAGTCAGACTTTGATTTAATGTTTGTAATATTGATTGTTAATTTCTGTTGGTTTTTGCAGAATGTGTTTGTGGCTGGGACGGATGCAAGTGCGGCGGCAGTGATTTGGGCGATGACCTTTCTAATGAAGCATCCACGAGTCATGAAGAAAGCTCAAGAGGAAGTGAGGAATTTAATTGGAAACAGAGGAATTGTAAACGAAGATGATATTGAGCGTTTACCATATCTCAAAGCAGTGATTAAAGAGACATTCAGACTGCAGACCGTATCTCCATTACTAGTACCACGAGAAACAATTCGAAGCTGCAACCTTGGAGGGTACGAAATTCCGGTCAAAACCTTAGTTTATGTAAATGCATGGGCAGTTGGAAGGGATAAAGAAGCTTGGGGCTCAAACCCAGAAGAATTCCGACCTGAAAGATTCTTGGGT